GATTTATGTGGACAAAAAAGATATAGTGTTTAGGTATATTTGTACCATAAATTAATGGGAAAATGTAATCGTGACAGATTGACGTCAATAATTATTGTTATCATCCAAAAATATAATCTTTGAAACTATATTCACATCATATCACCTAAATTGGGGAGAAAATGCATAAAACGTCAAATTAGATTGTTTTAAGTTTAAACATTAAAAAGATACTAAACATATAGAATTCATCATAAAGGAGAAATCAAATTTTCAATAACTCAAAAGATCCCAAAGGTGTAATCTTTATAATTGTATTAAAACAGTAAGGAAACAAAGTTATGTACAGTTGTATAATAAAAACATGAGAGAGAGAGAGAGAAAGAGAGAGAGAGAGAGATTATAGGATAATCAGCATTTTCGTAATATCTGTGAAATATTTAGATTTAAAAATAAAACAAAAACTCACCCCGGCATACCATATAGACCAACGATCAAGAACATTTTTTTCAATGACAGAAATTTAATCAAAATCCACAAATTCTAGTTTTATTTTCGGAGGCAGCTAGAAGCCCAAATTTTGAATTCAAAAAAAAAAAATTTTTTTTTTTTGAATGCTACACAGGCCGGGGCCGGGCTCGGCCGATGCCCCAAAACGGGGCTCGGTGCCACCGAGCCCGAGCCGGGCCCGGCTCGGGCTTTTTCCGAGCAGAGCCCGAGCCTTCCGAGCCACCGAACTTTTTTGCCATCGCTACCCACCATTGATCATCGTGTTCCAAAGTTGTGAATATTTGATAATTCAAAGTTTTCTTTTACACGTGAAAGCCAAGTTATTTTCAATTTATGTGTTTTGTGATCCTCAAAAATAATATTTATTATCTAGTAATTTAGCTCTATTTGTCTCCCTCACAAAAATAAAATAAAATAAAATAAAATAAAATCCTTTAATTCACATACTCGAGGGTGTAAATCTTCATGTACATGAAGAATAATCCATAAAATATTTTATACGTAAGTTTAAAACATTTTCTTATTTTTTTAACTACACATTCTGCAAAAAATAATTATTCAAAACGTTATTTTTCTCAATAATGGCCATCAAACATGGATTAGAAATCATAGGCTATAGAGAATAAAATAGAATCCAAAATCAGTGGTTACCTTATAATGAAGTCGTTTCATTTGGAATTATGGAATTGAACCAAAATTGAACAAAATCGAATGATTCCGTTTCAGTTTAAATGGTGTACCCAAAATTTCCAAATAAATAGTGCAAATTATTGTAAAATTGTCAAAAGAAGTTAATTACACGCATCCAAAATAATTCCTAAGGGCTATCGAATGTGTTGGGAAAGAAGAATGATCCTACTTTTCTATAGCGAAACTAAGATCTTTGTCACCAAGTTAAGAAAAAAGGGGCTTAATTGTGTAAGAAAGACCCCTTGCAACAAGATATATGAGATCGAAAGATAAAATAATTTTTTTTTGATAAACAAAATATAAAATGATAATCTATTCTTAGACTCCTCCTTACGCGCGTCAGCAATTTAATAGGAATCTTTCTTCCCTAGGAAATGAAAAATGAAAGAATTTATAAACAATCGAATTAACCCTAACTCGAGCGGGGGGGGGCCCTAATGTGTGTAGGAACAAAAGATTCATGTATATATTAAACGCAACGAAAATTCTAAAAAAAGACTATAAAATACCCATCCTAGTTATTAAAAAAAAAAGGTGGAGTAAGATTAGGAGTGAGAAGTCCTCCCGATGATATATCGTCATGGGCAGACCAATCAATCCCATCATCATCCAAAATAGAAGAGAACAAGAAACAAAGAAACACGACTAGAAGTATATTTATTCCCTGTTAAAGTTCTAGCTTTTCTAAAAGACTGGAGTGCGATATCATATTTAATGAAGCGGCAAGGTCAAAATAGTCAAACATTTAGACTTTACTCATCCATCGAGCTCTACATAAAAAGAGATCACCAAAAAGATCACTTCCAAGCACTTGCTTTTTGCATGATACCGTCGCACCTTAACTTTACTAAACCATGCAAGGGAGATATAGGCTTAGTAAATTTATACCTATTAAAATAATAAGTACATTTTGTCTTCATAGGAAATATTGTCTTATAAAATAATTCACCCAATTAAAATTTAAGCATAATAAAAAATCGATTGGATTAGAATCGGTTCTATGTTTTGAGTACTTAATGGAATCGAACCAAAACTAGCTAGTTCTTGGGTACTTAATGCAATCGAACCAAAACTAGCTAGTTCTTGGTTCCAATAACTAAAACGGTTTAAAATTTAAGTAGAATCAAATCGATCAATTATGATTTTGTTCGATTGATTCCGGTTCTTTTACCTGCCCTTATTCGTTATCTCAACGGTTGAGAAATATAAGCTAATTTGAAGAGTCATATTTAAGTTTCAAAATCTATGATTTTAAAATTCGTAAACAAGGTTATGATAATAAATGTAGCCAGACCAAAACATTAAAGAAAAATACAATAATAAATGTAGAAAGATCATAATATTAAAAATATATGTTTACTTAATAGATACGATATATAAATGTGTCCTATTTTGACACTTCGACAACAAGTTTTATTATTTATTCATAATACTGTTACATCGATTATAATTTGTAACACAAATTTTAAATATCGCTACAAAATATTGCAACCTATTCAATTTTTTTGAAGTTTCTAGAAAAAAACATACTGTTTTCCTTCAATTTCATTATTGTTCAACCATATTCCAATTGGTATAGCGTATAATTACTTTTGTTAGAAAATCTCATTCAACCAAAAATAAAGAAATAAAGAAATTCATTTTCTCCACCTACCCCCACTCCCTTGCCCCAAAAAAAGAAAAGAAATAATAAATATATATTAGAAGAACTAACAAACAAAGAATTCAAAAATAAAAATAAAAATAAAAATAATAAAAAAAAAATAAATTAATGATACTTGCCATTAAAATAAATTGCAAAAAATCACCAAAATAAGTTGATTATTTTATCCCTAATTACTAATCGAAACAATTACTTATTCACTCTCTCCTTTTCACTTCATAATGAATCCATTCACTTACCTGACGCTCACTTTGCACACAACCCAAACTCTTCTCCTTCACCCCCACCCACACCATCCCACCCCTACTAGGATTCACTATTCACCCCATATATAGATACATACGAGTGTATGTATTCCTTGCCTCCGATCGTTTATTGACCAAGATCATTGAGTAAGTCTTTTCTCTCTTTACATTTATACAGAAGAAGATAGATACAACCTGTATATGATTGGATATATAGTATATATGCATGCAATTTAGTTATTCGAATCATTGATATGGGGCATAAGAAGCGAAATCTCGCTCCACGCTCCAAACCCGCGCCGCCACCGTCCACTGCAATGGTCGCCGTCGACAGTAGTGCAACGTTTTCGGATAATATACTAAATCCCACCACAAATAAAGTTGAAAAAACTGAGGCCCTAGATTCGGAAAGCAAGAATGATGCAAACCCTTCATCGTCTAGTACAATCAAGTTCGAGTGTGAGAAGGCCCTCACGACACTGCGGCGGGGGAACCATACCAAAGCCCTAAGGTTGATGAAGGATTTATGCTCGAAACACGAGAATTCCCCCCACTGGGCTTTGATTCACCGTGTTCAGGGGACTGTTTGTGTGAAGGTGGCCTCGATTATTGACGACCCGAATGCTAAACAGCGGCATTTGAAGAATGCAATTGAGAGTGCGAGGAAAGCCATGACCTTGTCCCCTAATTCTATTGAGTTTGCACATTTTTATGCAAATTTGTTATATGAGGCGGCAAATGAGGGGAAGGAGTACGAGGAGGTGGTGCAAGAGTGTGAGAGGGCATTGGCAATTGAGAAACCTGTGGACCCTGCCAAGGAGAGCCTGCAAGAGGAGAGCCAGCAGAAGATCTCCACATCAGAGGCTCGAGTTGCCCACGTGCAAAGTGAGCTTAGATCTTTAATTCAGAAGTCGAACATTGCATCCATTTCAACGTGGATGAAGAATTTAGGCAATGGGGAGGAGAAATTTCGTTTGATTCCAATAAGGAGGGCCGCGGAGGACCCAATGGAATTGAGATTGGTGCAGGCAAGAAGGCCAAATGAGATTAAGAAGGCAACTAAGACTCCTGAGGAACGTCGGAAGGAGATTGAGGTGAAAGTGGCCGCAGCTCGGCTTTTACAGCAGAAGTCCGAGTCTCCCCAGTTGGAAAATGGGGAAAATAGTAGCAAGTTGTTGGATTCTGGTTTTGGGTTGGGACAGAGAGTGGCAGAAAGAAGGAAAAGTGGGAATGTGAGGAAAAATGCTTCTTCGGCTGAGAGAAGGGACTGGGTCCAGTCATATTGGAACTCCATGAGTTTGAAGGGGAAGAAAGATTTGCTTAGAGTTAGAATATCTAATCTCAAAGCTCATTTTAGTTTGTCAAAGGACTTGTCTGCAAGTGAAGTGCTTAATGAAGCTTTATCTTTTGGTGAATCAAACAAAGTGTGGAAATTTTGGAAGTGCTTTCGCTGCAATGAGAAATTTGCCAATGCAGATTTGTACATGCAGCATGTTGTGCAGGAGCATATGGGGAGTTTGATACCCGAAATGCAGTCGATTTTACCCCAAGGTGTTGAGAATGAGTGGGCTGAGATGCTTCTTAACTGTTCTTGGAAACCATTGGATTTAACTGCTGCAATTAGGATGCTCGAAAAACAATCAAAATCTGAGGCACCTGATTTTCTGGATGACTCGTACCCAAGAAATGACTTGGAAGATTCCAAAGTTTTTGTCGATTCTTACTGCAGTGAGAATGAATGGGAGTCATCGATTGGAAAGAAGAAATTGGGTGATAATTGCAATGTTAGTACCCAAGAGAGCAGAGAATTTGAAGAGGTTGAGTGGATGGATTGTGATGGCGATCAAGGCAGTAAAGAAAGTCTCATTAATAAAAACTGGCCTTCTTCTGATGATCCTGAGCGTGCAAAGCTTCTTGAAAAAATCCATTCCATATTTCAGGCTCTTATCAAACAGAAGTATCTTGCTTCAAGTCATCTTAGCAAGGTTATACACTTTGCAGTGGAGGAGCTTCAGGGTGTCTTTGGTTCTCAACTTCTTAAATCCAATGTGGACCAAACACCTCTGTGCATCTGCTTTTTAGGTGCTTCAGAGCTCAGGAAAATATTGAAATTTTTGCAGGAAATTTCTCATTCTTGCGGACTAGGTAGATATTCTGATAGAAATAACCCCACACGTGATTTAAGCAGTGGCATGCAGGATGTTGACAATGTGGAGAAGTTAATTATTAGTCCAGATGCTTCTTTTTTGGTGCTTGACGAGCGTTTTCTTCCCTGCAAGCTCCCTCCCTCATCTTGTGATGATGCTGGTACTAATGATTCCAGTACAGCAACTGCATCATGTGTCAGCTTTGAGAATGGCGTCGTACTCGATTCAGATGCATTACTATCCTGGATATTTACAGGTCCCTCGAGTGGGGAACAATTGGCATCCTGGAAGCGTGCAAGAGAAGAGAAAGAACAGCAAGGTATGGAAATTCTTCAGTTGCTTGAGAAGGAATTTTACCATCTACAGGGCTTTTGTGAGAGAAAATGTGAGCATTTAAGTTATGAGAAGGCGTTGCAGGCTGTGGAGCATCTCTGTTTGGAAGAGGGCAAGAAAAGAGATCATGTTATGGATTTCGTTCGCCAAAGTTATGACTCTATACTGAGGAAGCGTCGAGAACTCATTGAGCGTGACAATGAAATGACCACGATTAACTATAGGTTTGAGTTGGACGCAATCACAAATGTTTTAAAGGATGCTGAATCCTTGAATGTCAACCAGTTTGGCTTTGAGGAAACTTATACTGGTGTGACATCTCATCTTTGTGACCTAGAATCTGGTGAAGATGATGGCTGGAGAACAAAAGACTATTTGCATCAGGTGGACTCTTGCATAGAAGTTGCAATACAGAGACAGAAAGAACAAGTTTCTATAGAGGTGGTTGCATTAGTTCTGCTTTTATTTTTTCCCTCTAAAGTATGGGTCTGCACCGCTGCTTTATCTTACTTTTTTCAGTGATGCAGCTCAGTAAAATTGATGCAAGAATCATGCGAATTCTAGCCGGGATGCAGCAGTTCGAACTTAAGCTTGTGCCTGCAGCTGCCAATGATTTTCAATCAATCTTGGTGCCTCTAGTGAAATCATTTTTACGGGTTTGTGTTCACCATAGCATACTTTTATAAACATCCCCTCAGCTTCCTTGTCCCCTTGTGCAGTGAGTTTGAAGTTTCTTTTTTTCACATTTTCTAGGCAATATTGGAGGATATAGCAGAGAAAGATGCCACAGAGAAATCTGATGCTGCCAGAGAAGCATTTTTAGCAGAACTTGCTCTAGATTTTAAGAAGGGTGTTGGTGGAGGTGAGAATCTAAAACACGTGCACGAGAAGACGAAGGATAAGAAAAAGAACAAGGATAATCGGAAAAGCAAGGATTCAAAGGTTTGAACCATATGATCAGACTTTGTATGGTTTATCATCTACTATAAGCTTATCAAAAGAACTGTAGGATATGAAGTTACGGTTCACTTGCTTTACATTCCAACTACTATTTTGCAGGTCACCGGTTGTAGTGAGCTGAATATGCTTCGTGATCAGACATCTGAAGATATGTATGTTTCTCCTTTTGCACATAGCCCTTTTTCATGTGCTTGTTATTCTTGTGTTTCTTCAAAATTCATCTTTATTATCTTTCCTTTTGCTGTGTTGCTGCAGATCACTTCCAAATGCTCATGATGGAGATTATCCAAATGCCGAAATTGCTGTAGCAGCGAGCGATGATACTTTGAGACTACAGGAAGAGGAATACAGACTCATTATTGAACTAGAAGCTGAGGAAAGAAAGCTCAAAGAAACTCTGGAATATCAAAGACGTATTGAAAACGAAGCAAAGCAGAAGCATATTGAGGAACAACATAAAAAGGTATCCAGAACAATTCCAGAGAAGATGGAAGCAGTTGCCATACCTAATACTGACTTGAGGCACAACTATGATGTCCAAGATGCTAATGAACAATGGACAAATGTGAAGGTGAGGATGTCTGTCCCAAAGGTCTTCATGTTGGAAGTTACTGGTGCTTCCAATTTTTTGTTTATGGCTAATCATTATGAAAAGTGTTTTGCGTATGTTGTTCACAATGTTATATTCATTCCTTTTCGAGTAAGAGAAATAATATTTATTTAAAATGATTGAAATTTTTGAACTTTTATTTCTAGGAAACCTCAAAACATAAGGATGAATTTACAACCATTCCGGAAGGTCTGCTGAAGAACACTGCCAATGGGGCTGCACAGAGAACTGGTAGCAATCTCTCTCACCATCTTGGAAATTTAACAAGAGTTTTTACTATATAGTTTGGTCCTATCTGGTAACTTCACCGTAAACTTTGAAAGTGTTATCATATGATCTTACTTGCAGTCTTAGACAATGGAGGAATTCCAAAAGATGGTGGTTTACCTTCTGACCGAAGCTCACGAAGGAGAGGTAGACGGCTAAAGACTCCGACTAAATTAAGTGATGGAAAGTATCAACCAGTCTCTTCAGAAAAGGAAAATACTGAAATTGGTCAACTAAGATCTACTCGCACAGTCCCTGAAGAAAGTGGTATGTACTCACTAAAATTACAATTTCTTGGCTTGTTATATTAGGATTCTGTTCTTATATTTTACTTGAACATTGAGTACTTTTAAAGTGCAAATTTGATCCATGAGTAACCATATAGTATATTCATAACTTGGTCTTGGTAAAGGATGAACTGGACATCTGTAGATCTACATTTTGGCCTGGACTTCTATGTTCTCCCTTATTTTCCTGACGAACTGATTGAACTGAAACTTCTTTTTACCCTTTCATTTCGTTGTATTCTCTCTCTCTTGTTTTGTTTGGAATGGGCTATGGAGGTATTACAACAATACGAAAAGTGGCCCTATTATTTCCCAAAGCTGCTTTAGATCCAAGATCCCTAAAGTGATTGCTAGTTTTGTCTTTATCTTTATTTTTATTTTTTTTTGCTTTGTGAGGTAGACGTAGCGCATAGTGGAAGAGGGAGAGGGCATGGGATGGTGGGATAAATGTGATACTGAATAAATAATGTGCAACTGGTTGCTCTGAAAGCTACTTTTTTAGCCGTCAAGGCCCAGGGACAGTTCCTTTATGGGGAATCGAAGTCTCAATTTAGTTCATATAATCCCTTCACTTTTGCATGTAAATTTTATCTTTGTTTGCTATTATTAGGTGAAAGCCATGTGCGTGTGCCATATGCAGTTAGTTAGCAGAAGCATTGTTTATCAGCTTATCTAAGTTTAGAATTCTGTGATTAAAATTTGTTGGTTTGATACTGAGTACTCTATTAAGGAAAAACCTTCCTTTTTTCTTTGGGGAAACCTGGGTGTATGCATTAGGTGGATGAAATTTAGGAAAATATTTCACCTCGTAAGAATGCGCTTTACTCCCTTGTTTGACTTCTTAGTTCTTATATTCCCTAATTTGTATTCTTAAGATTCTAAGTACTATAATAATTTTTTTAATTAGTCAATAATCTTATTGGTGAAGTGGGTCACTAGATGTTGATTGATTGATTAAATTAGGATTTTGAACGTTTTTAGAAATGCATCTGTTGGCCCAAGTTGTGTGCATGATAATTCCATTACTACCATTGGTATTCTCTTTGTAATTCACTATCTAAAGTCATTTGCTCAAAAAAATTCACCTTTTCTAGTTATTGAAAAGATGATGTCATGCCAATAATTTGCGATGCAAATTGTTAGCATACTGCATTTGGGTCTGGTATACTAAACCAAGGTTAGTTTACCTGCTGATTATGACACTGAACATAATTGTATGTTGGAAAGTTTCTGACAGTAGGTCGATGAGGATCTTCAGTAGGTACAAAATTCTTTGCTATGCTTATATGCTACCTTGAGGTACTTTGCTTTATTCATGGAAGACATTCTCTCTCTCTCCCTGTTTTTTTTTTGGGTCAGTTGATGGGTGGGGCAAGTGCTAATGGAGGTGGTTCTCCCTCGTCAGGGCAGTCCTGAGAAGAATATTTTCTTTGATACTGGGGCTATTAATGTCCCAAAATCAAATTACGAGTAATATATATATATATATATATATTTTTTATAACTGTGGATGTCCATATCAGCTTGCGTGCACCTCGACTAATCCCACGGGGCCTTAAGTTTACGGTCGAGTACTCACCTCAGTTGCCCTGAGGGGATTCGAACGGGTGACAATTGGGGAACAAACCTAAGGTCTCGCCAATTGAGCAACCCCTCAAGGTTAAATCTTTCGGATGCATTGTAAAGTGGTATTCTCGATTTTGATATTTGCTGTCTTGGTGCAATTCAAGAGTCTTTGATGGTGTAAAGATGCAAGCCTAGATCAAGGCAAAATGCTCACAGTGCTTTTTAAAAGATATTTTTTTATGCGTTTGGACTAGTTGAGTTACAGCTGTTTTCTTCTCGGTTCTTATGGGAGGAGCTATCTTTATTTCTTTGTTGCCTTGATGATCTTTTTCTACTCTTTAGGCTAGTTGCATGCAGGGCGGAGCCAAGATTTTACTCCAGTGGGTATGATGACTCAACTATTAATAAAAATTTTGTAATAAGATAATAATACTAGAAATTAGAATATCAAAATATTTTCTCTGAAAAATTACAATTGTTCCTTGCATATTTTTGTACATTATATAATTTATAAGTCAGACACTTTATAATGACCTTATTATTGAGAATTTATTTTGCTATTGACTTTGATTCTACTTTAACGGTCATAGTTGAATAACTCTACACATTTCCTGCTTTCAAATTAAAAAATAGGAAGCCAAAAGTTTTAGGAAAAATAATCATATTTTGGTCAGTATAGTTACCTAAAAGAATAATTCAACTGGAAAAGATTAAAAATAGAATTTCATGAAATAAAATTCAATGAGCAGTTAAACTTGTAGAATGTCGTTGATTGGAACAAGTATTCCTTGTCAAAATTAGAATAAAATTACACAAATGCTCAAGCAAAGAGTCCAAAAAAGAGTATTGGTAGAAGCTGAAGTCTAGAAAGACGTGTAGGGTGGATTAGCAAATTAGGTATTAAAAGTATCGGACTTGGTTTGTGGTTGGGGAATCTGACTAATAGTAATAGAATGTACATGACTTTGGCAGGAGTAAATGCAAAGGCATTGTTAAGGGATAGAATCTCATATCAAATAAAGATGTAAATATAAATCAACTTATAAATGATTTGATTACTCCTCTTAATAAAGTTGACCTTTTAAGATGGAACCCCAATTCTTAATATGGGATCAGAGCTCATTAAACTCTAACGAGTAATTCGATCCGGTTAAGACTCCAAAAATGAGCATACGGATTTTAAAATTGGTCTGCTCAAACGAGCCACTATCTTGCCGGGGCATGTTAAGGGATAAAATTTCACATCGAATAAAGATGTAAACATAAACCAACTTATAAAGGATTGTGTTACTCCTCTTAATAAAGTTGACCTTTTAAGAAGGAACCCCAATTCTTAACATGCATTTCCCTTAGCCCTCTATGATGGGGTAAATGCTAGGCGATAAAGGAATCTTTGGCCCCTTCTAAAGCCTAGAGGGGCAACTACTTGTGGCTTTGCCACAGGTTGCATGGAATAGTTTTGAGCACTGCTTAAAAAGACTTAGCCCCTGTTTGTCAATCATTATTTCAAAACTCTTTTTTCTACGTACTCATTTTCAACCACACATTTACACAATAAATATTCTGCACGTAAACTCAAAACTTTTCACTATTTTTTAATCACACATTTTCCAAAAAAATTACTTTTCAAAACTCCATTTTACCCCGATAATGGTAGTCAAACATGGGCTTAATTGGATACCAAGGCTTTTTACCTCTAGACAAATTAATAAATAATTTGAAAATAATATTCAAACACAAAAATATGCCCATAATTTAAAAAAAAGCAGTGTTCTTGTTAGTCATTGCTGCATTTATAAAGTGCACTCCTTTGTTAGAGAAGAATATAACAGTAATGAAATTTTTTGTTCTTGTTGAAAAGATGCTTTCTGTAATGCAATATTACAAACAGTTAGAAATTGAAGTAAAAATTTAAGATGACCAACCTGATCCAACTGAATTCAACCCAGAAGCTTGTTCCTTTCTTAGTTGGGTTAGGTTATATGATCCTCGTCTTCCAGCCGCATTTAGTTGGGTTAGTTGGGCTAGGGTATATGATCCTCGTCATCCACCTGCTTTATCAATGGTATCTCGAACATTGTGATCCACCCACTTCCTGTTACCATGATATTTGTAAAATAACTTGTTTCTGTTTGTGTGCATTACGTTCTTATTGGCATGCTATATAATTGATGCAGCACATTTTTTTATACATTTTCTTTGTGTTTGACATAAACAATCCCAATTGAACAAGTTTGGAAAGGGAGCGGTAGAATGAAATTAACATGGTCCGATGCGGTTGTGAAGCATTTGACACATCGTATCTTCCAATAAATATAGCGGGTCAATGGAGTGGCAAGAAATGACTGGCACAGTGGATCCAGATATTATTAATAATGAGGCTTAGTTTGGTTTTGCACGTGTTTATATATACACGTTAGTCCTAAATGCAAATTGCTGATACTTTCTATGGTGTGAGGTTTAACAGATGTTCTTATTTATGTTAGTAATAGAAGTCCTATAGCTGTGAGTTTTATGGATTGATGAAGATTTACAACTTATTACTTTGCTTGAAATTGAATTATTTTTCTCTTGTAGATAATGGATCAAAGACATTGAGACAGCTACAGGCGGAGGATGATGATGAAGAGAGGTTCCAAGCTGACCTTAAGAAAGCTGTACGGCAAAGTCTTGGTATGTGTCTAGTTAACTTTTTTCACTTTTAATTTCTAATTGGAGCTACCCTGTGAATGATTCAGCCAAGTGTAAAATTCTGTTCAGTTCAAGTTAGTGATTTCAGGAGAATAATAATCTCACACAGTATGCATCTTTTCCCCCATAGTCGAAAATGCACTTGACATCATTTTGGTATTATGCTGAAATTACTCAGATCGGATTCATTCAACACAGCTTGAATGCGCTTGTGTATCTTTGTCTATTATTTTCGGATTTTTATATAATACCCTGTACAACTCCCCTTAATATATGCTTTCCCCTTTCTTATCTTTGCCATTTTCATTCTCTCCCTCTTGTTCTCGCTTTTATTTTTTGTGGATTTAGTCTTTTGAGTATGTTAACATACAATATGTTGTTCATATTATTGACATCAACATTGAGAGCCCAACTGGACACTCCTTGTTTGGAGTTCCGTTCGAAATATCATACACCATTCCTATAGATGTCCATATTCTGAGTCCTGCTTTCTCTGAACTTATTCTCTGTGGTTCTGTTCCTCCTTCACCAAAGATGCACTTGATTCATGCTCTCTTTCATGCTGAGTCCTATAAGTTGAATTCGGAAGGTTAGGCCATTTGGTTTATCCAACCCCAAGAATTTTAACTTCATTCAAACTGAGCTGTCTCTAAGTACATATAGAAGCAAATTAAGCAGATGAAATTGCTTTCCTTATTCGTAGAGTTGCTTACATGTTTTCTCGCAATTGTGTTTCATATTAATGCCAGACACGTTCCATGCACATCGAAAACTGCCTTTGACATCGGGTTCACCAATGCCACAAAACATGCTCCCAGAAATTAGTTATTCAGGTGTTTCATCTATTGAAGTGCCGATTGATGGTATCAATGAGACAGATGGATACGGCACAGGGCTAAAAAACGAAGTTGGTGAATATAATTGCTTTCTCAATGTCATAATACAGGTTGGCATTAGAGAGCATTTTACTCTTTTCTGTTTCAATTAGATTTGTCCTTGTCTGTTAATCATTGTCTTCAAAGCAACATCTTTCCTTCTGCCTGAGAATTCATTTCTTTTGGTTTTCAGTCCTTGTGGCATTTAAGACGTTTTCGAAATGATTTTTTGAGGAGATCATCGTCAGAGCATGTTCATGTTGGTGATCCTTGTGTCATATGTGCTTTGTACGATATCTTCATTGCACTAAGCAAGGCTTCCGTTGATACATGTAGAGAAGCTGTTGCGCCTACTTCATTAAGAGTTGCTCTAAGCAATCTGTATCCTGAAAGCAATTTCTTCCAGGAGGTAAATTTCACTACTGGTAATTTCATTAACAAACAAGATTATTCCTTTCCCAAAAGATAATTAATCAGATATCATTGTCCGATAATATTATGACAACCTTCAGGGTCAGATGAATGATGCTTCTGAAGTGCTGGGTGTTGTGTTTGATTGTCTGCATCAATCATTTACTCCTGCACCTTCTGTGTCTGATACTGAATCGGTAGATAGCAACTGTATGGGCTCCTGGGATTGCACAAATGGATCTTGTGTTGCACACTCTCTTTTCGGAATGGACATATTAGAAAGAATGAATTGTTACAACTGTGGTTTGGAGTCCAGATATTTGAAGTACACGTCCTTTTTTCACAATATTAATGCCAGTGCTCTTAGAACAATGAAGGTACATGAATTCAGACATACATTTCTGCTATTCCTCTATATCCTCAGCCCATTCAGTGGGGAAATTAATGCTTACAGTTGTGATAATGCTTATTCTGCTGGTGGGTGTAAAATGGAAAATTTACATGAATTTATGTTTGCCAAAATGGTTAATTGATGAAATGCAGTTGGTTAAAATTTTCATCTGTACCTCATAGGTTATGTGCCCAGAAAGCTCCTTCGATGAGCTTTTAAACTTTGTTGAGATGAATCACCAGTTAGCTTGTGATCCAGAGGATGGTGGCTGTGGGAAGCTAAACTATATTCACCATATTCTCTCAACGCCTCCCCATATTTTCATAATAGGTGACTTTCCAGCTTCATTTTATATCTATTCGTGATTTTAGGTTGTGTACCAAAATGGCTCAGTGAAGTTTATTTAATTGCCACTTCGTTCTTACGAGCCACTAATGTATTACATTTTCCATGTTTTGTAGTTCTGGGTTGGCAGAAAACTTGTGAGAGTGTAGAAGACATAACAGCAACATTAGCAGCCTTGTCAACTGAGATTGATATAAGTGTCCTTTATCGGGGTCTTGATCCAAAAAATAAACATTGCTTGGTTTCAGTGGTAAGCTTTCTTACTCTTCTTCTATATAGTTCCGAGTTTCTATATTTGTCTTTTTTTAGTCCTTATAAAAGTGGTGAGAGCTGTATTCTTCTTCTGCATGTATCTATCTTTGCACGGAAATGTGTATGGTGTCAAGATCTTGTGCAAAGACATCGGCCAATGTCTAGAAAAAAACTACTGTTGTGAAAGAGAGATAATTTGGAAAAATAAATGACGTATTACCTCTCTTACAGAATAGCATCCCAAGATAACTAAGAAAAGAAAACATTAAACATAGCAAGTACTAGGAAAACAATCAATCAAGCCTAAGCAGTCTTAACAATTTTTCCTCTTTAACTCTTCAAAAGGAATATATTCTCCTGAAAAAAAAGAAAGAAAATAGAGAACAATTTCTCTGTACCTCAGCATTCTGATGCTAAACAAGTTCTAAATCGCGCACTCATTATAGACTCAAGTTTACCTAATTGTTTATTATACTTTCTTGAAATTTGTCATCTCTAGGTTTGCTACTATGGGCAGCACTATCATTGTTTTGCCTACAGTCGCGATCATGAACAGTGGATAATGTATGATGACAAAACTGTGAAGGTATAATTGCCAGGCTGTAGCTGTGTATTATATCATTCTCTCTTTTGTAGTTTGTCATTTATCTATACTTTATGTCTAGGTAATTGGTGGCTGGAACGACGTTCTTACAATGTGTGAAAAAGGCCATCTGCAACCCCAGGTCCTCTTTTTTGAAGCTGTAAACTTGTAAAATTCGAAGTTGATATAACAAAATATGGGGTTCAGTACTGGCTGTTGTCTAATCTTGAATATAGTGGCACTGGCGATTTCTGGTCGTGCAAGTTTTGAGCTGAGCATGCAAAAGCTTTACTTTTTGAACTTACAATGCTGATGCCAAGCGCAGGATTGTATTATTAAGTCAAGATATCTGTTATATAGAAGAGAAATAAGAGCAGTTACCTGTAAGAGACGAGGAGAGTTTGAAAATGTTTCGTTTGAAGATTGAAAAATCAGAAATAAGTTTTGATTCTCATGATACCGAGAGAAGGTGAGTAAAATTGGGGGTTTATCTTTAAATTCTGGCATCGTTCCAATCTGGTATGGTCGAAGACTGAGCCGTAAAAAATAGCAGCCACCTGGGTTTTTTTTTTTAAAAAATGGAATGCAATTGGAGCATGTGAAAGTCAGATCTCAATGGGAACTATCCTGGATGGTTGATTGATACTACAATTAATTGTGCACAGGACATTCTTGTACTTAGGTTCAAGTCTCTATTATTTTCTGATGCAATTTATGTATAGATCAGATCTCAACTCCTTGGGTGCGTTATCCTGTGGCCTAGGTAACGTCTCTCTCTCTCTCTCTCTGAGTTTTCGTTGGGAAAAATTTTGCGCAGATCAGCGTCAAGAAGTTTTAATTTTATGATACTACGTTGATGGCGGCGAAAATGAATGATATAAATATACTTTTTATCTGCTTTTAAGATTTTGAATGGCAACTTTGTGAATATATTGTTGGATTTAGTGCAATATCACGTCATGATTTTGATTCTCAATTTTAGTGGGCAACTGAAGGGAATAAATTCCTTGCATTTCTCATTTTATGAAAGCATAATGGCTTTATATGTAAGATTTTCAACTACCATTTTGTAGATCTTGAAATATGAAACTAGTTAATGTAAAAAATTAGTAATAGAAATTGTAGAAACTTTTGTAATTTTTTTACTGGCCATCCCTACCGGGCACTGATACAGTGAGAGGGCTCGGTTGGAGAGCCTGTAAACTGCAAAACATGACCTAATGTTTTGTACGTAGAAGTTGATAAGTTCACTGCAACTTACTTTAATTTTGCACATTGTTCAAATTAGCTTTATTTAATGGAATGGTTGTGGAAATTTTAATTGCTTTCAGATTAGTGCTTTTTGTTAAGTCGCTTATAGTTAAAAACAGTTTGAAGTTGGGTGTAAGCTATTCGTTTTTGACGGCTTTTTATAAATTTTAAAAATAAATAAATCATTTAAAACAATTTGAGAAAAACCAAATCATTAAAGCGATTTGATAAAAATTTAAGTCTAAGCCTTTTAGTTGGGTTCGGTTTTAAATATTTTCTTAAAGTTCATTTTAACATTACTACTTCATTGATTACAAATATAATTCTACTTTATCAATGATAAGATAAAATTAATTATCTATATCAAACTAAAAATCGAAGTACCAATGCTTAGTTGACATTCATCATCGATGCATGTCACTGCACAAATGGCTTGGGGTCGATGCTGACATGACCCACTACTATGATAGGGTCTGTCATGCATAGAGGTCGAGGCACCCAATGCTAATATTAGAGAAAATTAAATAAAATACCCACTTTTGTCAAAAAATATTAAAATGTACCTCATTTTTTTTTGTTGAAGATAACTGCCAATTTTGATCAAACCTTTAACAATATCTCTGCCCTATTCTAATTAGGGGTTCTACTCAAGTTCTTCGGGGTGACTCAATTCGGTTCTACTCAAATTATAATCAAGAATCGGTCGATTTTGGTTCAATTCTTGGATCCAATACTAGGGATAAAAAAAGGGAACAGTACACAAAATCTACATATAAGAATTACTTTTCAAAACTAACAAATTTGTTTAATTATTGCAAAAATCAAGTGGTAAATAGATTTATTAAATATTAAATAATAATATAATATATATTAATTATTTACACCCCATGACACNTTCTTGGATTAATTATTACCGTTACAATGTTGTTATGCTTAATCATTTTTTGTACTGTAAATTTGAGTTGAAGGTGGTAGCGATGGTGGTGTATTGGAGGTGATGGTGATAATGACTGATGGTATATTATGGTGCTTGTTCGTGGTGTAAGCAGATTTGTTTGTGGTGACCATTTGTGACCAAATTAGTGTTCAATATGACTAGTTGTGACCAATTTTGTGCTAATTGTGACCGAATGTGACTTGAAATGTGACTTGAAATTTCAAGTCACATTCGGTCACAATTAGCACAAAATTGGTCACAACTAGTCATATTGAACACTAATTTGGTCACAAATGGTCACCACAAACAAATCTGCTTACACCACGAACAAGCACCACAATATACCATCAGTCATTATCACCATCACCTCCAATACACCACCATCGCTACCACCTTCAACTCAAATTTACAGTACAAAAAATGATTAAGCATAACAACATTGTAACGGTAATAATTAATCCAAGAAACTGATTTCTCTAATAGGAATAAGTAATCAAGCACTTTTGTGGATCCACGAATCGAAAATATTTTTGTTGAGGCTCACGTCAAGCAAATGCCTGTACATCGAGAGAATCCAGAGGCTCAAGAAGGCTATTCCCAGCAGGAGCCAGTTTCTTTCATATTTTATTCAGAGGCTGAAGAACGCTGTTGTGACGTCTAGGATCAGCAACGATGAGGAGTCGGTGCTCCCACCATCACCGGCTGAATTTTCTTGCTCCAAATTTTCCATACTACACTCACCGGTGTTTACATTCCCCCATCCCTGTTCAGTACCAATGAAACTAAAGCAGCATAATAAAACAAAAAATAAGAACAATAAACAGATAACCTGATGAGTAGGAAGAGCGTATGTTTTGTCATTCTTGATGTTATGAGCCTTGATATTCTGTCTATAAGTGATAGCACGACAATTATTAATCCTCCCAAGAAGCTCCACAGTTATCCTTCACGCTATTTGTGGGTCATGAACTTCGAAACCCTCAATATACCCTGCCATTTATCCATCAGCTCACACTTCTTCATTTGTCCATCTTTAGGAACATGTAAAAATCAAACTTCCTGGAAAAATCATTAAACAAATAACTCCAACCCATTTCTCTATAATTCATCTTCTGAAGAAGCACGTATATGTCAATATGTACACATATATTCATATTTATGTACAAACTAGATATAAAAAAATGAGCTTCAAGAAAATTTCCAAAATTATTCCCACGTTTCATGATTTGAATGAAGGAAGCCATGACGTTGGAGACAGGCTTGAGCTCCACCGAAGCGAATCCTCTCTTTTCGACACTGACGATTGTTCTCGGGCATTGTTCAATATTCTTCTCCCCATTTTCGTACCACCCCTTTTCCTTCGTTTCTTCCGCTCAGAGCTAAAACCCCAGGTGGTTTTCAGTACAGGGAGAGAGCCCATTAGGTTCTTATCATCAGTTATAGGGAACAATACATAATGGGTTGAGAAGCTGCCCCCTCACTCCTTTTTCTCCTGCATCTTCACCGGTGGTAGGGGTGAGGGGGTTTGGGTTGCAGGCGGCGATAATGGGGATAGAGGGAGAAGAGAGAGAGAAATGAATTGAGTGTGTCGGGATTTAAAGTCTTGAGTTTTGTAAAAATTTCTTAATCACCTGATTTTTTATAATTAAATCTTAAACCCCTGGGTTTAGGTAATTTTCTCATAAAAAAATCCAATTTAACCAAAATTTTCACCTTTTATTTTTAATGATAGTTGGTGCATTACATTACATCAAACTCATATTTAATTTAATATGGTGTTATTTATAAACTTAGACATAAGATGTTTGTTTTCCTTTCAAGTTAATATTTTTAGTGAAAATAGAAGTAATAGTTAAACATTATATGCATATATTGTTGCGTTCAGTTAAACTTCGAAAATGCAAAACATAGCATCAATATAAAACGTTTTAATAAAAAGATCATGAAGAGTTAGATATTAATTAATATATACACTTCATTTGCCTCGATTAGCAATTCATTATTTTTTTCAACTACTAGCAAAGTTCCGTGTTCTTTTCAAAATCACGTTCACAATATTGCTAATATAGAAGCACATTCGAGGCATAAAAAGTGGAAAAGTTTTCTTCATCGATGATTTTTTCTTCAGACAGAATTAATTTTGAACATATTCTGAACAGTTTAGAAATGGATCCATTAACAGTTTTAAAGTTCTATAAGCGAAAGTGCGATTAGTCTACAATACTATGATAGTCAAATCTTTTAGTTAAGTTTTTTTCAAAAAGTGTGGATCTTTTATAATGAAATATTTGATTTTCAATTTGTTGTGAAGATGATGATGTAGGAGAATGAGTGCTTTCGCACGAATAAAAAATATATATCCACCTTCCTCCCTAAAAAACGTATATATCAACTTTTTTTAAAAAAATTTTATATTATATTTTTTAAATTTTACGTAAATTTACTTAAATAGAAAAAGAATAAAACCAATGAAAATAGCGCCTCCCATTGATAATATTGTGAAGGCATTCACGTTTGGCCATTGATTTCAACTTCTAAACAGTGAAAAGGCATGATACCACCTTCCTCCCTAAAACCTCAACCCCTCCCCTACAGTACCATAAAGGGTCGTACCTTCACTGAATAAGAAACAGAACAGTGACTCCCTCAATTTTGAAGAATATGATTAACTACTATATATATAATTATATAAGAACCAATTAAGAAGTTAGTGTCAACTGGACATGAGTTGTATGCTTTCCAACGGGTATAAGAGCATCTCCAATAACTTCTTTATTTTTAAAGAACATATTTTATCATTTGAAAAGTGTCTATAAATTTACAGTTAAAATTTTTCTCTTTATATTTAACACTTAATTTTATTACTCTGAAAAAATATTTATTATTTTTCTTTATTTTTTATTTTAACTATTTTTTCTTTAGATTATTTTATTATTTTTATATATTAAAAATTGAAACACTTTGAATACATTTAATTATAAAGAATGAGTTTAACTCTTCAAATTTGGAGAGCCAAACCCACTCTTTAAATTAAAATGTTAATTTAAAGAGAATTTTGGAGTGTAATTTTAAAGACCGACTCTTTAAAATAGAGAGCATCTCATGTTCAAAGAGCCCTTTGAAGATGCTCTGAGCATTTTTTCGTACACCACAATTACTTTTTTTCCCTGAGATTAGTTGAAATATCCATTACGAATATATAATAGGTGAATTACTTAATCCCAGGTTAGAAATTGATTTTTTTTTTTAAAAAAATTGCTTTTGTTCAAATTCATTTTTAATCACGTATTTTCCCAAAAGAATAATTCTACATATGGACCCATAATTTTTCTTATATCTTAATCATACAATCTTTACAAAATCTTAGGTTCGCACCCCCAATCCACCGAACAAAAGGGAAGAATTTGAACTTGAACCAATTTATCCTAAGCCCAGTGCCTCTTCACCCAAGTGTAACCAACTTGAAAATTCAAACTCAAGAAAAACCATGTATATATTTGTGTGCAACTGAGATTTACCCATGACCACTAATGACCCTCAAAATTAGGACTCCGAATAACACACACACTCTCAGACTCTCTCTCTGTCTCTCTCTCAAATCCTTTTCTTTTTTACTCAAAGTCTTTCCATTTTCCCCAGCAAACTACAGTTTTTTGTTTCCTTCATATCACACCATTTTAACATATACAGACATGATTTATATCTACTATAATTCTTGAAATTCATTACCTGGTGGCAGGGCCGGTCCTGTGATATTCGGGGCCCGAGGCGAGATCCATA